AATAATACAAATTATCTAATATTTTGTGGTAAAACTGCGATGCAAGTATTCCAACTGAGTCCAATCAAAAAAAGGCTCATCATTTTTTTTCTTTGTGGTAGGAAAAGTTATGATGAACTTCAAAAACTGTATAAAAATCCAAATACTTTACAGATATGTTTCCCAAAAAAAAATTAAATTTTGTTTTTAAAAAATATATACAGGGTGAGATAAAAAAAACTGCAACAAAGTCAAACGCCATAACTTCTATATTTTTTAAATTTTTTTTTTTGAGTGAACGCAAAAAATGTCGGACATAACATCAAATTTAAGAAAAAGTTTAGATTTGTTCGAATTGGTCACCTTTGGCACGAATTATAGCCTTCAAACTGCCAATGAAATCGTCACACGCTACCCGAATGTTGCTCTGCGGTATTTTGGCCCATTCCCGGCGAAGCTCTTGCTTGAGGTGATCGACACTTTGTTATTTTTTAATGCCAACCTTGCTTTCCAAAATACTCCAGACACAATAGTCCAACGGATTGGTATCCGGAGATTTTGGTGACCATTGTGTACTGTAACTGTCGCATGCTGGGTGGAATGGTACTGAGTCCTGTTGGAATGTCAAGGTCTGCAGCCAAAATTGCTTTAATACAAATCTTTAAGACACCATCTAGAATATTTTCGCGATAATATTCGACATTTATTCTGATGCCACGGTCGATTAATACGAGCGGAGAGCGACCATCGGCTGTTGTGGTGGCCCACACCATCACCATGGTCGGCGCTTGAGTTCTGGTGGCCAACCGAAGGTGCACATTTTCAGCTGACCTCTTTGGCATGTAAACACAATCATTTTGTTTGTTTACAAACTGATGGATAACGAATGTTTTCTCATCGGAGAAACCCAAATTCGGCAGTTCATCACTTCACCACGACCAAGCGAAGCAACTCTTTAGCTTTTTGGAGTCTATTTTCTTTAGGTTGCGGTGTAAGTTCTTGCACTTTTTGGAATTTCAATGGCTGTACCCGACCTCATTTTTAAATATTTGCCGAATGGAATATTGCGATACGTTCAGCTTAAGAGCCATTTTTTGACCACTGCGACGCGGGTTACGATCAAGTCGGTTCTTTATTTTTCGAACCATTTCTGCTGATGTTGCTGTTTTCTTCCGTCCACTCCCTTGACGTCGGGGTACGCTACCAGGTAACGAGCGATGTTACGAGACACGAAAGATTTATTCACATCCGATTCTCACGTCCTTGGGCTCGTCCTTGGGCCAAACAAATATTGTTTGGAAAATTTCTTTTCAGACGGGCGAACGGACTGTCATGCATAAATCGACTCAGAAAGTGGTTCTATGAAGATCCTCAAAAGCAACTCTGGGTCTATCTCGCTTCCTGCTTCATGTTACAAACAAATGCACAAAGACATAATACCCTTAGGGTAGGGTAAAAAAATCCAATATTTTGAGCTGTATATTTCCAATTGGATCATGGTTTGTGCCAAAATTAGATCGAATCCCCCTACATGAAAAAAGCCTAGATTATGGCCTTATAGCTTTACTCTCGGGAAAAAAAGTTATCGCAAAATACCTTTCGTGTGCCATAACTTTCAAAATAAAAGATAATTTAAAATATCATCTAAACATTCCAGATAAGGTTTAGTATTCGAGTTCCCTTTCGATCTCTTTTACGACATAAGAATCCAATTATTACTAAAATACCATCATAACAAACAATTGAATGCGATCAATTATGAAAATATTGCACAATTTCGATTATGGAAGAATCCCATCGAGCAATCGCTTTCGGTATTCAATATTCGTGTAGGTCAAATAATTTTATCTATTTGCGAAGCTAATTTATCTGAAAATCATGTGGAAAGTTTCTCTCAATTATCGCGATAATAGACAACAACAAAAAAAAAACAAAAGAACTACAACGACGACATCCACATATCTGGCCCCCCAAACGTAATACCAATTAAGAAATTCTGAAAAAATAAAACAACTACAAATTAATTGTTTCACAAAATTCTCTCAGCCGTCAGCGGCGGTGTGAAAATCAATTATTTAAGTCTTAATTTTTATCAAAATCCAAATCAATTGTAATGAAATTAATTGTTTGTGACAGACATTACACGAAATTGCAAGAGGGTTGGAGAGGAGAGTGGAAGAAGGTAATGGAGGGAATGCCTTGTTGGGCAGGCGTCTTAGGGCATTAGTTTGGAATTAAATAAAAATAAAAATTAAAAACAGCACGAGTTGTTAATGAAATTATTTTAATTACTCTATAGGCATCTTAATCTGTCGTCTTCCCCCATTTCCGATTTCGCTGGAATTACGTGAAAGTTTTAATGAACTTTTAACCTTGCAATTATATGGGTACATATGGGGAAAAGATTATTTAAAGGAATGCTGGAGTAAAATGGGCTTATTTTTTATATACATAACCAGTAAGGAGAGGTCAAAAGTGGGGCGGGGCCGACTAAAAAAATATATATCGGAGCCGAGTTCCACAAAATGGAAACGTACGTGCTGGAATTCACTCCGTTTAGGCTGAAGTTAGCGGTTTATTTGCACCATAAACCTCAATTCAGATTAAGGATTTTAGGAGCTATGTCCAAATCTAAGCCGATCTCGATAACATTTGGCAAAGGTATTTGCGAACTCTATAAGATAACGGGTACCAAATGTGGAGGACTTAATTTCATGTACTTGCTTCTTGACTGAATTCGGTTGGATGTGCCAAAATTCTGGTTATTTGGACTTATATTGGCCATTTGGTGCACAACCCGAAAATCGGTTAAATATATATATGGGAACTATATGCAAATCTGAACCTATCTCGATACAATTTGACAGAGGTATTTTTGGGCTGTATCTGATGTCTGATACCAAACATTCTTACGAATGTGGGTGACTTAAACACCAAATCGGATGAAACCTATATATGGTAGCTATAGCCATGTCTGAACCGATTTTCTCCAAATTTAATGTTCTTGCTACTAGACTGAATTCGGTGGGATGTGCCAAAATTCAGGTCATTTGGACTTATATTGGCCATTTGGTGCATAATTAACCGGTCGAAGATATATATATGGGATCTTGATACAATTTGACAGAGATATTTCTGGACTGTCTTTGATATCTGATACCAAACATTATTTTTGCTGGGTGCATATTACGAATGTGGGGGAGTTAAACACGAAATCGGATGAAACCTTTATATGGGAGCTGATCCGATTTTCTCCCAATTCGAAGTACTTGCTTCTACACTGAATTCGGTCGGATGTACCAATATTTAGGACTTTTGTACTGATATTGCCCATTTGGTGCATTATTAACACGAAATCGGCTAAAGATATATATGGGAGCTATGTCCAAATCTTTACCGGAATCGGTCTTCTCCTTCTGGTACCTCCCCCTACAAAAGGTCGAAATTTTCAAAAAAAATATTTTTTTTCTACACAGAAAGAGAAACGATAATCTGATTTTTCTCCAACTTTTCGAATCCTAATATTTGCATCAGCACTAGGTCAGCTGCGAAAATGGACAATATCGGTCAACTCCATCAAGTACCCCACCAGGTATCAAAATGTTGAATAATTATAACTCTTATAAAATGTAATGTAATCACAATACTTTTATTAATCCAAGGTATGGTGCGAAGATAGAATATATCATTCCACTCCTTTTGGTTACTCCCCACAAAGGTTAATAATTTTGAATATCCATGAAGCTCGTGAAACCCGAAATTGACATCCGTTTCCATTTGGACTTGCCACATCTGTTTTAAATATGGTAGAGATCGGACCATTCCATCTGGTAACTCTCCTACAAATGGTCAACATTTTGAATGACCAAAACGATCATAAAATCTGAATTAGGCATCCTCGTCGTATTCCACACATCCCATTATTTCTACTAATACATGATCTGTTGTGAAGATGAGTTATATCGGTCCACTCCTTCTGGTACCTCCCCCACAAAAGTTAAAACTTTTGAATATCCATGAAGCTCATAAAAAGCGAAGTTAACATCCGATTCCATTCCAGACTTGGTACATCTCAATATTTCCATCAACCCAAGATCTGTTATAAAGATGCTAGAGATAGGGCCATTCTTTTGCTACCTTCCCCATAAAGCTAAGTCTCTCAGTCGATCCTCACGAAAGTTTGCATGGAGTAGCGTTAGGGTTAGAATTAAAGCCTATGAAAATGTAGTGGACCAAAAAAAACATTTTCCTGATTTTGCAGTCGCTCTACACGAGGAGAGAGTTACTTACAGGGAAGACGTCGAGCATTTTGGGTGACCATTAGATCATATTTAGCTGTAAAATGGACCACGACTTCGAATTTTTTTCGAATACATAACAACACAGCAGGGCTCTATGACATTATTTCAAAATCGAAATATTCTAAAATTAATTTGAACATAAGGTGGTTTCCACCATATTGTAGTGTTGTATAGCCTTTGCTTACTTGTTTAAAATGTTGATGAGTTTACCAATAGGTTGAGGAAAAGACACATAATGGGATAACCTTCAGTATTTTCTCTCAGTGTACTCTGGACATCAATAAAACCAAACACCATATGTTTGAACACAAAAAAAAATCCAAATCTATATTGAGCAGAATATCCTGCCTGTCCCATAAACTGATAAGCTAGGCATGCATTTTTAACACACGTGTGTGTTTACGCTGAGATCTATGAGTTTAGGTCATGTTCACGCACACACACACACACACACACAAACGAACGCACACACTTGAGTTGCCAAAGGGGGTCTTAATTTTTTCCCGATGAAGATCTTCAAAAAAAATAAACAACAAACGGAAGATGTGTCTATTTTTAAAAGAAAGAAAAATCTCATTGGAGTTGCTTCATTGTTTTTGAGATGACATCTCCCCAGCATCTATAGGGAGATCAGTTGTAGCTAAGGCTTCGGAAACAAAGGATCGTCCCGGGTACCAAACAAAAAAGATTTTGCTATAAATTTATTGGAAATTAATTTTTTTTTTATTATTAAAAACAAAAACATTAAATGGCATCATTTGGTGTTCGTGGCATGAGCCAGAATTTTGGCATTAAAATTTGTTGCTGCCGCGTGTGCACCTGCATACATTTCGGTTTTATAACTTCACGGGCGGGTCTTTTGAAAATCGTTCAATTAGGCTTGGCATCGCTGTGCGAGGGTCTGCTCATTAAATATGGTATACCAGCAGCTGACTCAATTGGTCAAGCACTGACGGGATTTCTAACAACCACATCGTATTGTTTTACAACGACGGCGATTTTATTGGCCTGCTATTGTTTTTCGGATAAATCGTATGGATTAATAAGGCAATCGTTGTTTGTAAGTTTCAAAAATATTAAATGTTCATAAATTTTAATAGGAATATTTTTAAAGAAAAAAATCTCAAAAATGTCTCAAAGAAAAAACAGGTCAATAACAGAGCAATAAGTGAGAATTTTTAAAGCATGTTTTTTATGGACCAACAGAAATATAATTGTGGATTTTTATACCCTCCACCTTGAAAGGAGGGTATAATAAATTTGCCATTCCGTTTGTAACATCCCATAATGTATATATATTCATAATCAGCATGGAATTCTAAGTCGATTTAACGATGTCCGCTTGTATAGCCCCCATATAACGGTACCTACCGATTTTTGGTATTTTGATGATGATCATGATGAAAATTGGTATTTGTTGGTCATAATGGGTTCTAGCTCCGGCGACGAAACATTGCATGTATAGGTTCACTATTTGGTATAGCCCCCATATAATGGTACCTCCCGATATTCGGTATTTTGATGATTTTTGCCACATTTTCCCACGAATATGTCTTAAAATTGGTATTTGTGGGTCATAATGGGTTCTAATGTTTCCCTTACCCTAAGGTGAAGGGTATTAAAAGTTCGGCCCGGCTGAACTTAATGTTTTTTTTACTTGTTAAAGACCATTTTTCGAAGGACACAGAGTAAAAATCGTCGATTTTGAAGAATATTTTTTAACGGACCAACAGAACAATAAGCAACGATTTTTGAAAAATATCTTTCAAGGATCAACAAAGCAATAATCACGGATTTTTAAATAATGTGTTTCAAAGTACCAGCAGACAAATGATCATGGATTCTGAAAGAATATTTTTGTAAGGACCTACAGAGCAATAATGATGGCTTTTAAAAAAATGGAGGATTTTTAAAGAATATTTTTCGACAAATTCTAAGGACCAACTAAGCAATAATTCGGGGTTTTAAAGAAGGATTTTCAAGGACCAACAGAGGAGTAATCATGGATTAATCGTGGAACGGAGCAAAAATCTGAGATTTTAAAAAAATATTTTTTAAAGGGAAAACAGAGCAACAATTGTGAATTTTTAAAGAATGTTTCATTTCAAGGAATAATTGAGGGATTTAAAAAAATGTTTTTTAATGGTCAAGGTAGTAATATTCATGGATTTTAGTTTTCAGGGGTCATCAGAGGAATATTTTTAATTTCATTATAAGAAAAAAGTTATTAGTCGCTTTTTCCGGAAGATGTATAGTCCAGATCAGTTTATATACAGGGTAAGATGAAAAAACTGCAACCAACTTCAGACTACTGTCATTTCAAAGCCACTAGTCCGACAGTTGTTAAAATTATTCCAGTGACAGCTTATTATATTGTTTACAAGTGTACAAAAGCATTTTGGTGAGTATCTTCCAGAGAAAAAGTTACTCGTAATGGAATTTAAGCGATTTCTTTATATTTGGCTGGAAAACCACAAGTGGCAATCGTTAGAGCACTCCAGCATTTAAATGTGAACAAATCGTTTGTGTCTCGAACCATCGCTCGTTACCGTGATACTGATAGCGTAGCCCGACGTCAAGGAAGTGGACGGGAGAAAACAGCAACATCATCATGGTTCGAAAACTAAAGAAGCCACTTGATCGAAACCCGCGTCGCAGTGGCAGAAAAATGGATCGTGAGCTGAACATATCGCAATATACCATTCGGCAAATATTGAAAAATGAGCTCGGGGTAAAGCCATTGAAATTCCAAAAAGTGCAAGAACTTACTGAAAGGAAATTGACTCAAAAGAGCTAAAGAGTGCTTCGCTTAGCCGAAAGAGGTAAACTGCCGAATTCGGTTTTCTCCGAAAAGAAAACATTCCTTGTCCAGTAGTTTGTAAACAAACAAAATGATCGTGTTTACTTGCCAAAGAGGTCAACTGAAAATGTGCATGGTAATGGTGTGGGCCGCCATAACAGCGGATGGTCGCTCTCCGCTCGTATTAATCGACCGTGGCATAAGAATAAATGCCGAACATTATCGCGAAAATATTCTGGAGGGTGTATAAAAGCCTTGGGCACGCAAACATTTTGGCCGCAGACCTTGGACATTCTAACAGGACTCAGCTCCATCGCACGCGCCACCGAAGAATGATTACAATATTAGGTTCTTCGCTTCATTTCCAGCGCACAATTACCACCAACATTTCCGGATACCAATCCGTTGGGCTATTGTGTCTGGAGTATTTGGAAACCAAGGTTGGCACTAAAAATACCAAAGTGCCGATCATCTCAAGCAAGCGCTTCGCCGGGAATGGGCCAAAATACTGCAGAGAAACATTCGGGCAGCGTGTGACGGTTTCATTGGCCGTTTGAAGGCCATAACTCGTGCCAAAGGTGACCAATTCCAATAAATTTAAACTTATTCACAAATTGAAGCTATTTCCGACATTTTTTGCTTTCATTCAATAAAATTTAAAAAAAAAATGTAAAAATTATGGCGTTTGACTTTGTTGCAGTATTTTTATTTCACCCTGTATCTCACAGGAAGTAGACGATATAGTCCAAATATGGCACGTTGTAATATTTATATCAGACTTAGGTCAGATACGAATTGGACAATATTGACCAACTGCTTCTGAAACTCCCCCACAAAGGGTCAACAGTTAGAATGATCATAACTCATGGTTGGGATAAGATGTATACCATCTGTCGGCAAAACCGACTGATCTCTCTAAAAACCTATTCCTTTTGATTTCATTCAATACTTGTTTGTCTTTCCAGGAGGTACTTTTCAATGTCATAGCTTGCAGCATGTACTTCAGTGCAGCCAGCTATATGGGATTTGCTTGTGTAGTTTGGTTACATCCACAATTTTTAATAAAACCCGGATTTTGGGCATATCCGGCAATGACAGCAGCCTATGTAAGTTAAATCTTTAGAACTTTAAAATAACATTATTCAAAAACAAAATATTCTCCTTTAACTATTTACAGTACATGGGCTATGCCGGTGGAATTTTGCACGCCATTGATGGATACTTGGCGTTTAGGCATTACAAGGGATATCGGTAATATACATCGGAAAAATAAACACATCCAAGGTCTCAACTCCAAATTCAAATCTTTCCAACGAATCTATTCTAGGAAAAGATTGCATTTGTTTTTATAAATTGTAATTTAAACTAAGAAAAAAGGCAATATTATTTAAGTTATTTTATATACAAAAATATATAAATATATTTATATCGTTAAGTTGACAACAAATAAATCAAGTCTGTGTAATTATTTACGTATCTTCTTTTTGTGTGATTAATAATGTTATAAGGCATATGTTATAGGCAACTTAGTTGGTATCACTTTTTTGGCACACAGTCGAGCAGTGGTTATGAGGAGTATACTTTTCCTTACATACATGGCACAATTCATATCAATTATATCAATGTATAATTTATATGTATGTAAACAAGGCCTATATAAGGTCGGCCAAGAAGACTACTTTTGGAAACAATTTGCCAATAAAATTAGTAGTTTTGGTACTATTGCGTTTTGATTCTCTTTGGATTTCAAATCACAATTATGTGTTTTGACAGAAAATTGTTAATTGTCAGATGGGCTTAATGGACGACCTTATATAGGCCGTGGTCTCAATTGTGTTCTATGAAAATGTGAATTTAAAACTTTTATAAGGGAAATATTTTTCATTTCATATTTTCATAGAACAAGAAACTGGTCCCATGTATGTATATATACATTTTGATATTAAAAATTTACAAAACTTCATCTAGTCTTTAGAACCATTGTCGACCGGTTTTCAATAAATTAGTACATTACTATTGGGAGTTATAAACAACACAAACACTGGACATATTTCAAAAATCTGTGTGATCTGTGACAAGTGGAGATTCGATCTTCGTTTGAGAACAAGATTCTGTTGGGACAGCAAATCGAATACGATTTGGTGGAGTAGAAAAAACGTTAATCAACTTTTTTGGTGCTATTAAATTTCCTGCAAAAAGGACAAAAAAATATTTTTTAATTCTATTCTTACTTAATATTTTATTTAAACGTACCTAATATTTTTGTAGGCCTGACTCGACTCATAGTCACCCTTCATCAGGGCAATGCGCACCCATCGTGGCCTCTCATGGATGGCTTTGTGTATCACAAATTTTAGACCCAACAGCAAATGTTCGAAAAGGACAAACGACAAATTGGGCATGGAGGGAAAATGTTGGACAACGAAGGCTCTAAAAAGGGGGAATTGAAAAATTATTAAGTGTTGTGAAAATGATGAGGGAATGATCGATGCAGAAACATTAGAATGAAATGGAAATTTGTATGAATTTTGAAATGGAAATTAATGATGAATGGCTTGCAGGTGATAAAGTTAATCGAAATAAAACTAATGAAAACGATAAATGTTTGTCGTAACATAATGTTAGGACTTTGAAGGAAATTTTCAAAGGCCTGGATTAAAGACGGAACAAGAGGAATTTTTCTCCGCACGGTTTTTTTTAAATATTTTTTAATGCAGAGAAGAAAAAAAGCCTTGGAAAAATTTGGAAGACATATTTTTTATTTTTACATTTTTATCTAACATTTTAAAGCAAAAGAAAATATTCTTACTGCAATTTGAATCGAAATACAAAACTGAATGGTTGTGGATTAAAAAAATTTTTCAAAAGTCATTTTATACATTTTTTCAATAGTCACCGTGTTTTTTTAATGTTTTTTAATGGTCATCAAAGTGGATTAAAAAAGTTTTCAAGGACCAGCAGAGAAATAATCTTGGGGATTTAATCTTCACAAGAACAATAATTGTGTTTTTTTAATAATTGCGGATTTTTAAACAATATTTTTTCGAGGAAACAGAGCAATAATCGTGGATTTATAAAAAATATATAAAAATATTTTTTTAAGAACCGCCAGCAAAATAACCGATTGTTTTTAAAGAGTATTTTTTAAAGAACCAACAGAGCAATAACCATAGATTTAAAAAAAAAATGTTTTTTTTTTTCTTCAATAATAATCAGATCAATAATCGTGGATTTATTTTTTTTCAATGGAGGAATATTTGATAAAAAAAAATGTTCAATGGAACGAATATTCTTCAACAAATCATCAGAGCAATAATCGTGGATTCTTTAAGGATATTTTTTTCAGTAGTCATCAGGGAAATAATCGTAAATAAAAAAAAAACAAGTAAAAAAGCAGTAAGTTCGGCCGGGCCAAACTTTGAATACTCTCCACCATTTGGAACGATTTTGGAAAATTTCAAAAAATAAAATCCTTAAAAAATTCTCTTAAAATTTTAAAGATAACGAATATAGCCGCTATATTGGGGTCTATACGTTGTTTGTCATAAGCCATTACCGAAACTTGAGTTCTGCCCATTACGAACCAAATAAATTCCGAATTTTAAACAATTTGTTGGTATATATTGCGAACATCAAATACAGAATATGAAATACTTCTGTTAAAAATGTAGTCGAAGTAATCAAAATGCCGAATATCGGAAGGTACCATTATATTGAGGGGTAAAAACAAAAACAAACGGAAAAAGTTCTTCCAATGATAAACATAAAATGCCAAATTTAAAAAAAATCGATCAAAACATATGTCCAAAAATGCCAAAATCCCGATAATGGGAGGTACCACTTTAGCCCAGAAATTCAAATTTTGCCGGTGCAAATTGTCTTAAAATCAAACTGAACAACAGCCAATCTGAGGTATTGGATATTCCCAAGTAGATATGAAAATGCTCGGTTTGTAGATTAAAACCACTAAATAGTTTTGGATTCTCAGACCGAAGTTTAAGCTTTGAAACTCGATATGTTGCTTTATATTACTTGAGGAATCCGTGGTTTAAAAATGTGTCCATATCTTCAAATATTGAGATCTATCCAATCTACCTTCTAAACATATGTGATGGCAAAATTGGCTTTTGGCCAGGAAAATCGAATTCTGCATCACTATGTCGAGAGACCGCTTCTGCTCTTTATCAGCTAAAATTTCAATGAAGAGCCACTAAAACGTGGCTTAATAGACACAATATTAGGTGGTCTTATGGGGAAAATTATAAGAAAAATATAAAATCTATAGTTTTTTTTTCAAAGATTTAGCCACTAATAAAGTGAATAGACACAATATTACGGGTCTTATGGGAAAATTATAAGAAATATGCAATATATAAAATATGTTTTTAAGATTTACTTAACTCACATAAACGCATAAATCATAACCCTTAGCTTCTGAAGAGTATTTGGCTTATTTGAATGTGGGGAATTAAAATATCATGCACATAAATGGATTTTGTATAGAAGTGATTTTTATAATGTGTTTCTATTTGATTCCTGATTTTAATCGACATTAAATGATGTTTTCCAATTTTTGTATGGAATGATTTGAATGCGATATATAAAATCTCCCAATGAGTTTATGTAAAATATGTACATTTCTTGGACTTACCTGACATTTGGTAACAGATACAGAAGGCCACAATTACTCAAAATTGCCATAACAGAGAGTAGTTCGAAAGCAGATTGCCAGGCTCCAATATTTTTTGTGCGTCGTGCAAATGGTCTTTTAAATATGTTGCAAAGCTAAGGGGGATAACAAATTCAAATCCACGACATTTTTACAATATTCCGTACATTTTATCCAACTTACCTTAAACAAATCAATGTGCATGGCAAAGACATTATTAATTAAAGCTCCCAGAGCGGCAAAAGGAGCAACGGCAGCAAATAATACCACATAGCCAAATTGTATGCACATTTGCAAATAATCTTCATAGGTGGATTGATATTGATCCAACCCGGCTTCAAAGAAACATTGTTCATAACGTGATACATCACTGACCAACGACAGTTTATCTTCATCCAGTTCTTTGTGCATTAATTTGGCAAATTTTTGTTTAATAACAGCCAACAAGGGAATACCCACCTCTTGGGCAATGCATACAATCTGAAAGGGACATTTGTTTAATTAAAAGAAAAAGATTTAATTAAAAAGAAAAGATCTTTGAACTTACTTGGAATATCAGCAACTGCATCATCAATTGATAATTTAGCTGTTTCAAATCCTGTATTATAAACGCAATATAGAACAGCGAAAAGAAATTATTCACAATTTCAAAAATCATCCATTTATTAACACGATGTCTTTCGTATTGCAAACGGGTACGATGATTTTCCAATTCCGTAAGAAAGGTTGCCAATTTTTCATATGCCCAAGAGAATATGGCAATCAATATTGATTGAACAATAACAGGAATATATAACAGCCAAGAATCAGGACCAAAATCAGCCAAAACTTCAGCTTCAATTTGAAATTGATATAGGGCAAAATAGGCTGCAGCTACAACGCATAGCAACACCACCGGATATGATATGCAATACATTTGTATGTATGTATAACGCATGGGATAATGACGGGTCAATTTTCCGGTTATGGGATCTACTTTCTCTTTTCCCTTGTAGCTTGTGCGCGGTTTATCCAGACTAGACATTTCAATGGTACCCCAACGATAGGCTAAGCCGGCACAACGACGTTTCCACAATTCTTGGAAAATCTAAAAGAGGATTAAGTTTGAAAAATATTCAATAGGAGAGGTTGTTTATAACCTACCGTTGACCATATAACATAGAAACCAATAACAGCTGATAGGTTAATACTCCATAAATACTGGCAGATACCAAATAAAGCCGGCCAAATCAGTGCCTTGGTATAGAATTCGGTAAAGGCAAAATAAAGACCAATACTCGAGCCGAAATAATTGCGTATATGTTCTATGGGCAGAGAACGTCTGCGCCAATCAAAGCCAAATTTCTCCAAATATTCCTAAATGAGGTGAATATGAAATGTATAATTAATTCAAATCCAATTACAAAAAAAAAAAAAAAAAAAATGAAACTTACAATATCATGCAGTGGAAATAATTCCTCAACAATACCATTACGTATATATGGCAGCAATTGAGGTTTTACAACATCTTTGATGAGCACCGGAGCTTCACAGAATCTTACAATATCATCCACAGTCATGCCGGGCAGCAAGAAATCCGATACTGAGTGATAATTAAATTTCTGCATACTCCCTGTGGTTGTCATCTTCGTCAACTCTGCCTCATCGGCCAAACGCAACAGGGTATCTGTGGATGCAGTCAAATACAAATACTTTTCCTCTTTGCTAATGACTTCCAGAGTCGTCTTAATATCATATTGATGTATAATTTTGCGAACATCTTCACAGTGGGTAAGTTTGGCTTTTTCACCAAATATCAGTACAACATAAGTCTGCATAAAAGAAAAGAAATAATGAATTAATTTGCAATGATCCAAAAATACTATATTTTTGAAGCTAATAAAGTGCATTTCAATTGTTTTAAAGCCAAATTTCGGGGGGCCGAAAATTACTCTAAGTGTCGGAAGTCATTTTTGGTCTTATGTTAAATAAATTTGCAGACATTTTTAAATCTAACTTCAATTTTCGTTTGTCCTTTTAGTTTAGCGAATGTTTGATTGGTTCTTTAAAAATGTTATTATTAATGTTATGTTGGTACATAAAAAAGCATCCTATAAAAACCACAAATATTGCTCTGTCGAAGTTTTAAAAAAAATATATTTCTTAAAAATTCCCAATTATTCCTCTGTTGGTCCTTCGAAAAAATATTTTTAAAAAATCCGCGATACTTGTTCTGCTGGCCCTGTAGATCCTTCAAATAATATTGTTTACAAATCCACGATTATTACACTACTGGTCCTTCGAAAAATATTCGATAAATAATGCTCTGTTGGTCTTTCATTAAGTTATTCATTAAAAATCCACAATTATGGCTCTGGTGGTGTTTGGAAAATATTCTTTAAAAATCTACGATTATTGCTCTGTTCGTCCATCGAAAAATATTCTTTCAAAATTCACAATTATTGCTCTGTTGACCCTTTGCAAAATAGTCCTTAAGAATTAATAATTAATGTTCTGTTTGCTGTTCTAACGGCTTTACATCTTTTGTTTGATTTCTGCTAATCCGCTTCTAACTCCGGGTTCAAAAATTGGGCAACTTTCGCGGGCTGTAACCAATGATCTTCTGCAGTGAATGGGATAGGTTTGGCAGAGCAATTAAAGAGGCTGTAGCGAATACGAGTACACGTTTCACACAGCATTATCAATTCGTGGACAATACGAATTGAAATTACTACACCATCCTGCACGTAATTACGACAAAACTAACCTGGTGTGTATAGGCACACAACGTTCTTCTGAGATGGGAGGTGAGCTAAGAGTACGGCATTCGTACTGTAATTGTTAATGGCATCTGTGACTGCATTAGTATGAATGCTACTCAGACCTGCCTGATAGGCTTCTTGATCAAGTGGCTCTCTCTTATAGCGTTGGACTTCCCTCTGTAGATAATTTATGTCCTTCCTGACACGAAAGCATATGTCTGTGCTGACATATGGGAAGGACCTTCGCGTCCTAATTCGACTCCTGGTGTTATGAGGCGATAGGCTTCTTGATCTAGTGGCTCTCTCTTATAGCGTTGGACTTCCCTCTGTAGATGATTTATGTCCTTCCTGACACGAAAGCATATGTTTGTGCTGACGTATGGGAAGGACCTTCGCATCCTAATTCGCCTTCTGGTGTTATTAGGCGAGAGGGTACCTTCTCGCAGTTCTAAGGGCAGCTTTCTCTCAGGTTTGGATGTTCTTCCAGTTTGTAGCCCTTGTAATCGCAGACCACACGGGGCGGCATAGTTGACCACATACCACAGCTGATTATAAGAGTTCAACCAGGCCTTCTTGTCAGCTCTCTCTCTTGACAACAGGACTGTTAAAGCAATCTTACCGTCACCCAATATAGCCGATAGCGTTCGAACAATTTGCAGTAATATGAAAGAAGATTCGAAAGTTTTGTCTTTGCAATATCACAAGAAAATGTATACAAAGAGTACCATCCAGCAGGACAGCAAACCTGTATAGTTTTGTTCTTTTGATATCGGGATGATGTGTGATTTAAATTGACAGCATAATAAAAAATCGGCTACAAAAGTATCTTTAGATCCCGAGGGTATCCCAGTAGGTTGCTAAACTGTTGACAGTTCTGAAAGAGATCCTTCCTTCCTTCATAGCACTCATTGTACAATGAAGAGAAGGTAGGTCAACTTTGAAAAAATTGCAAGTATAGAGGTCTACCTGTTTGGCTTGTAATGTCAGAATTACTATCAAAACAATAAAAAAGCAAACAACTTGTTGCACTGATTTTGAATAAATACTTTAAAACCGCGAAAACTGAATGAATGGTCAAAATTTCTTTTCAATATAATGTTCTATATATCTCTTATGGTTTATTTCGCGACAAAAACTGTAGATTTTGTCGATGCATTCGTTGCAATAAGCATTTTGAAAACACCCGAATTTGAATATTTTCTGAACAATTTTTTATTATTGAAAAGAAGACACACACATAAGCAAATTAAGTTGGCATATTAAGCCAGAAAAATAAAAAAATTTAAATCATATGGTAGTTCTGCCCTACCTTGAATTCATTGTACCATGATAGCACTCACATTAAACTAGTCTGCAGTATATTTGGTTTCTCAATCCATTAGGTCGATCCTTATAAAATTTCAAGTTTTCAAGTCTCTTTCATCGTGAACAGAAGTTTGCTTTCATATTCACTTCAGTTACATTTGCGATCAACTTTATTTATTTATTTATTTATTTTTTTTTTTTTTTTGTATTTTACGACTGCGATGTCCCACTTCTATTTGCGGGGTTCGCTCAAAACCACAAAGTCACTAAGATCACAAAACAGATTTATTTTATTTTGCCACGAATAAACATTTGAACCAAATTTGGCGCAGCCTCTGGCGACTTCACTCAATTACGTGGCACAAAGATTTCATTATTTTCTCTAACATTTATCCAATTTCTATGCATTTCTCAAATCAAGAACAAACACAATCATTCATACACCCACTTCTTATCTTGTGACGCCCTTACCTTATCGTTTCCAGTATCGTCACCATCATCGCCCTGATCCAATGTTGCTGCCCTCGCACTCAGTTTAAGGCTTCTTTGGCGACGAAACAATTGATTTTCTATGATTTTCTGTGGTCGTCTGCCCAGCAGACTAGGAACTGTTTGCAATGAACCAAAAGAATGGCAAACAATTATATAAAATTACAATGCATATAAATAATATTTCATAGGCTGTTGGCCTTACCTTTGCTCATTTCGTTGGCAGCCATTGTCTTGGCCACTTTTGATACATCAACAAACAAATTGTATTAATTATTCTAAAGATTTTTCCTCTGCTTTGGCACACGCGTCGTCTCTTCACCCAGCTGGTCTTACACAGCATTCCTGTCATTCCACGCAATGCAAACAACAAATAAAAGAAATTTAGAAATTATTTTTTTTTCTTGAGTTTCTTGAGTGGCAGCGCGAAAAAGAAAACAAAAAACAGATGATTGATTGTTGTTGGGGCTGTGAGGGGGGACGAAAATTTATCAAAACAAAGGCAATGAAACCGGCAAATCACAGAGTTGCCATATTCCCAGTTGTATTAATGGTTTGTGGTACTTGCAATTGAGAAATAATTAATAATAAACAATTTAATGGAATAGAAAAATATTAAATAAAAAGTATTAGCCGGTTTAGCCGACAGATGTATACCCTCAGCAAATTATCGATTATTTAAATATATATTTGACTTCTGTTATGATTATTCAAATTGTTGCCCCTCTATGGAGTAGCTGGTACCCACGATAACTCCTGAAGGTAGTATCCAATTTGGTTCAAACTTTATACATCGTAATATTATTTTCAAAATTACATCGAGTTCGGAGATGGGCAATATCGGCCGACTTCTTTTGGTACTCCCCCACAAAAGGTCAAAATGTTAAAAAAAAAAAAAAAATATTTTGAGTTTTACCTTGTTAAGGCCTTGTTAAGGCGAAGATCATATGTTTTATGATATGAAAAATATTTTACTGCACAGAAAAAGAAAGCAACATCCGATTTTGCTCCAACTTTGCAAATCCTAATATTTGCATCAGTGCTAGCTCAGGTGAGAAAATGCACGATATCAGTCCACTGCATCAAGTACCTCCACAACAAAGGGTCAAAATTTTGAATAATTATAACTCTTACAAAATGTGATGTAAGTGTCCGATTGTTTTCAAATTACTCACATCACAATATTTTTATTAACCCAATGTCTGGTATGAAGATGGAATATAGCAGTCCACTCCTTCTTGTACCTCTCCCACAAAGGGTTGAATATTCATGAAGCTCATTAAACATAATAAGCATAATAAGCATCCAACTCCTTTCGAATTTCACAAATCCAAATATTCTTGCTCACGCAAGATCTACCAACCCCTTCAAAGGGTCACAATCTCTAATACTTTTATATGTTAGAACAAAATCTATGGTGAAGATGATATATTTGCCAACCCCTTCTGGTACCTCACCCACAAAGGATCACAATATCCAATACTTGTATCTGTCATAATTTGAGAACCAATTCGGCGATTCTATACAATTTTCCATGTCTAATTTTTGATTTTAACCAAAAATCTGATATGAATATGTTATTTATCGAAATATATGATTTCGCATAAAATTGGATATAAATGTTCGATTACCTTCAAATTTTGCACATACCAATATTTTAAACTTTATTAGATGAAGTGGAATATTTCGGTCCGCTATATCTGGTACCTCACCTATATTTCCACATTTTCTCAAAATTTGCAAATATCTCATCTAAAGTATAGGAAGTAGTCGATATGGTCCAAATCTGGCACGTTTATATATTTATATAAGATATGGGCCAGATACGGATTGATCAATATTGGCCAACTGCTTCGGAACCTTCCCCATAAAGGGTCAACAGTTTGAATAATCATAACTCAAGGTTGGCAAAACCGACTGATACTATTTTACTTGTTATTAATTGGAACTATCCATGGTACAATGAAGAGAAGGTAGGTCAACTTTGGAAAAATTGCAAGTAAAGAGGTCTACCTGTTTGGCTTGTATACGTCTGTCGGCAAAACCGACTGATACTATTTTACTTGTTATTAATTGGAACTATCCATGGTACAATGAAGAGAAGGTAGGTCAACTTTGGAAAAATTGCAAGTAAAGAGGTCTACCTGTTTGGCTTGTAATGTCAGAATTAGTATCAAAACAATAAAAAATTAAACAACTTGTTGCATTTATTTTGAATAAATAATTGAAAACCGCGATAACTGAATGAAAGGTCAACACTTCTTTTCAAAATCATGTAGTATATATATCTAAAGGATAATTTCGCTACAAAAACTCTAGATTTTGTTGAAATAAACATTTGGAAAACACTCGAAATTGAATATTTTCTGAACAATTTTTTTGTTATTGAAAAGAAAACACATACATAAACAAATAAAGATGACATATTAAGCCAAGAAAATAAAAAAAATTAAATCATATGGTATCAAAGCCCTACCTTGATATCATTATACCATGGAACTATCTACATCTTATGTTTTCATTTCATCAATACGATGGGGCAACATTGTTACTCACCAATGGTGTAAATACGACGCTCATTGTTGTGTAAATTTTGTAAAAACGACCTGTTATATTTGTATCACTACATTTTCACAACAGATGTCGCACATAAACATTTTGTACGGCCAAATGATTACAAAAAATGTATTTATTAAAAAAGAAAAACAGTTTTGGCTTGTTTTTTTCGATATACCATAGTATTTTGTTGTTGCAAATATTGTTGTTTTTATGAAAACAACGTTTGTTTATTAGTGGAGGACGGCGCAAACTTACCCCCAGGTAAACATTACCATAGTCCTTCACTAATAAACAAACGTTGTTTTTATAAAAACAACAATAAAGGGATTAAGCCTGACCATTTTGCAACAACAAAAAAGAAAAACTTTAATTTTATAAACCACGATTATTGTCTTGTTTGTCGGTTTTTACTATCAATTGGTCTTTTTTATGTAAGCATTTTTTACTACCGATAACGGATTTTTCCAATTAGTTGATTCTTACAGATTCTGGAACAGAGCCTGTATTAATGCTTTGAAAAATATTCATTAAAATTTTTAATAATAATCTTTAAAAGTACACGTTTATTAATCTGATGGTCCTTAAAACACTTTCTGTAAAATAACTGAAAATGTATTTATTAAAAAAAAAAAACAAAACAAAATTATAGATTTTTTGTTGTTAAAATGTATTCTTATAATCCAGGAATATTGCTCTGCGGTCCGTCTTAAAATTTTATTCAAAAATCCAAGATTTTTTCCTTGTTGGTCCTTTAATAAAATAGTTTTTTAAAAAATCTCGATTTTTTGCTGTGATTTTTCATAAAAATATCGAAAAAACTCTTTAAAAATCCACGTGTATTAAACTAATGGTCCTTAAATATGTTTTAATTTTTATTTATTTTTTATTTTATTTCCTTATTTATTGATTTTTTTTGTAAAAATCTAAAGCATTTGCTTTTTATGTCCTTAAAAAAAAAAACAATTTTGAAATTATTGCTTCAAAAAGGTGTAAAAAATGCCTTTGGTAAAAACAGATGATCATTTTTTATTTGCAAACATAAATTATATAAGTATTCCATAGAATTCAGCCACCACTTCAAAAAAAAAAAAATGTTGCATTATTTACATCCATTATCTGTTTTCCGAACAATGTTTATCAATTAATTTGTTGGCGTATGTGCACAAATTCAAATTCATTTTTTATTCTTTTTTATTCTCTACTTGAAAATGTTTGTTGGAATTTCCGCCAAACACCAGATGTCTGCAATATTTGGTTAAAAAATGCAGTTCAGCCAAAAAAATAACAAAAAACACTTCTCAAATATTTGCCAAGCCATTAATAACCGCCAGAACCAATAAAAAAGACAAATGTGGGCGAGATCGAGAACAAAAAATGGTTTCATTAACTTTGTTTTTTATTCACTCAAATAAAAGTATGCACTTGAGCAAACTTATTGGCTACAAATAATTTTCAAATTAAAGAAAAAAATGTTGAATGGTTGCAGGCAAATGTTCAATACCAAATCAATATTTTGGACATATGGACAGTAGGGGGAGGTGCAATAAATTGTATGCAACACTTGCGTGACAATTGCAGCAGTTTGAGAAATGGAAACCATTTTCGGTTGGTAATTGTCCCTGGGGGTAATTTTTAATTAGGATGGAGGGATGAAAAACAATCGTGGATTTTCGAAGGGCATTTATTTCGGAGGACCCACAGAGTATATCTCTGGGATTTTTAAAAATATTTTTAATGCAATAATAGAGGATTTTCAAAAAATATTTTTTGAGGGATCAACAGGGGAATAATTCTTGATTTTTAAAGAACGTTTTTCAAAGGACCAACAGAGCAACGATCGTGGATTTTTAAGGAATACCAGTCCACCTTAAAATCAAATTGCCAATAATACGAACTTGCACAGATCTGTCTTTTGTCTGCAGGTAGGTCAAGTTCGAAGATGGGTTACATCGGTCCACGATATCGTATAGCCTCCATATAAAGGTACCCCCGATATTCGGTATTTTGATGATTTTAGCCACATTTTTCTATGGAATTGTCTGAAATTCTACACAAGGAGTTCCTTGCGAGCACTTTACGCCAACATTTTTACATTTTTTTTTTAATTTTTTTAAAATAAATTTTAGATTTTTTCGAATTGGTCACCTTTGACACGAATTATGACCTTCAAACGGCCAATGAAACCGCCGTCACACGCTGTCCGAATGTTGCTCTGCGGTATTTTGGCCAATTCCCGGTGTAGCGCTTGCTTGAGGTGATCCACACTTTGCTATTTTTTTGTGCCTACCTTGCTTTCCAAAATACTCCAGACACAATAGTCCAAAGGATTGGTATCCGGAGATTTTAGTGGCCATTGTGCGCTGGAAATGAAGCGAAGAACCTCATTTTGTAACCATTCTTGGGTGGCGCGTGCTGAGTGCGATGGTGCGGAGTCCTGTTGGAATGTCCAAGATCTGCGTCCAAAATGTTTGCGTGCCCAAGGCTTTAATACACCCTCCAGAATATTTTTGCGATAATATTCGGCATTTATTCTGACGCCACGGTCGATTAATACGAGCGGAGAACGACCATCGGCTGTTATGGCGGCCCACACCATCATCACCATGGCCGGCTGGCGCTTTAGTTCTGGTGGCCAACCGAAGATGCACATTTTCAACTGACCTCTTTGGCAAGGACAACCCGTTCATTTTGTTTGTTTACAAACTGCTGGACAACGAATGTTTTCTCATCGGAGAAAACAAAATTCGGCAGCTCACCACTTTCCCACTTTGCCAAGCGAAGCAACTCTTTAGCTCTTTTGAG